TTTAGATCTACAATAATCTGGTAGTTTAAACAGTGAGAATTGAGTTGAAGTGATTTATCTATCGGCATCATAATCTATAATTCTTCCAATGTGTGTTCAATTAAAAATTAACCCAATTTTAAACATTAAGTCAATTTTTTTTTACATAGGCCTAACAATCACTTACTTCAGGTAACAAAGAGATGTGGCTTGCTGTTGAGGCAGGTAATAATTCCCCGAGATTCGTCATAATTGTGAATATGATGATATTCTAAGACTAAAGATAACCTGTAGGATTTATCGTATTATCGCATTCACTTTTATTTTCTATTTTTTAACAGTCCGGTGATAAATTTAAAGTTGGCTATAAAAAGCTCGTTATCATCGCTGCCTTCTATTTAAAGTCGCGGCGATTGACGGCTAAGCCGCGGTGGTCTGGTCCCAGTAGTAGTAGGCCTAACGTCTTTTATAATTATATATGAATTATAATTATTAACTAGCAGATGGTTGGCTTTTTGCCCAAAGACTATCTTGCCGACTATGACGCGTTGAGCGCCTATGTGACGTAACGTTTTAACCGTAATAGTTTTGGCTATTTGTCCTTCCTGCTGATTAGTAAAACGAAATCATCGCTGTATAAGTTCTTTGCAGGCGGCCCATTAAACAGGAATCATCTTACTTGTAAGCGATTTGTAATTTCTTATCAAGGAGAAAAAAATAATTCGTGAGAGTAGGTAAAATGAAGCGACGACACTTTATTAATCTTGGATACGAATGAAGAGCGATTATTTATTCGTTATCGTTTGACCAATTTAACGAACCATCTTCGCAAATATTAATAGTTAAGACGTTTACAAAGATCTTTCTTATATAAGCTAACCGAAAGGAGTTTGGGACAGATTATATTCAGTTTGTTGCCCCGATGTGGGATCACGAATAGATATATATATATATATTTTTTGATTAAAATATTTCTGGTTATGAATAACACAATTGGTAATCGAAGGATTTCCTTTCTATTTTAAGCTATACAAAAATAATAATTGATTACTTTATATAATATTAGCAGAGAAAGAACGGCAACCTATTTTTATTGCCAATTCATATCAAATGCTGGATAGGCCTATCAGAAATAGTAATATTCGATCAAGAAATTAGTATTGCTAGACCGATCTGCAGATTTTTAAGGTCTGTAGGCCTAATAAAATAAGGACTAATGAACAACAGTATGCCTACGTTGTATGTGCCGCTGTTTCTGAATTGTACAGGTGCATTAATAACGTTTCTATATTAAAGGGGTCCCAAGTTTCCCTCGAGTGGTTCGCACCAACAGCAGGCTAGGCCCGGTTCTTCCGCAAATTCAGAATGTTGTCCGGTTTTAAATGTATTTCATTTCTCCAAAGCACAGTCCACACTACCAAGTTTTATGTGACAAAATTGTGTGATGTGCCCATATATGGGAATGATGATGGGATATTACAGTCCACCCAAATATGGGCATAGGCATATCACATTTTTGTCACATGTGATAGTGTGGACAGAGCTTTAGTTAGGTGACGTCACACGGTGGTCCATGGGTACCGGGTAGGCCTAGGTCTATTCACTTCCAGAATGGCTTTTTCCAACGTGGGACCCAGGCATCCTGGGGACTGGAGTCCCTGGTACCACTGAGCAAATGAATACGGTATATAATTGAATGACATGCATCCAAACAGAAAATAAGCAAAAAGGAGTCAAAAACAATTGAAACGACGTAACTGGGTATATCATTTGCCTTTCAGGAGGGGAAAGATTATATGCGAACATGGAGACTATGATTGGGTATCGACCGTTAGGGATTTTTAAGTGGTGTTGGATCGTCTTCACGCCCGTCATCAGTTTGGTTAGTATGCGCATTTTTAAAGGCCTGTATACTCGGTAGAATTATTAGTTACTGTAGAACAGCTTATTATACAAAATTTTCTCTTCATGTTTATTATATAGTAGGCCCATACGCAAGGGCGTCGATCCGTACTTAAAACTGGGGGATGAATGGGAATTTTTCAAGTCGTGTTTATTTGATTTTAAGGATAACATTATTAACACTGATTCTGCACACACGTTTTCAATATTCATCATAAAAAGTGTATGATGTCCCTCCCTCTTTAAAATGTGGGGGAGGGGGAAGACGTGTCCCCTGTCCCCATCGACTGACGCCCATGTCAATTAAGTTGCTCTTTATAATAGTACTATGAGCAGGAACACAATCATCTGTAAATTATCATATAGGCATATAAATCGCCGTATTAGCCCACATGAAATACGGTAGGCCAGTGGAGACGAGCTCAAAACTTATATTATTTGTGCCTATAGTATATTTTCATATGATATTATTATCATGGTCATACTTAGGCATGTTACATGACTGTCAAATAGGCCTACTTGATAGTCTAGCGCTTCATGTAGATTTTGGTATCGTTTTACACGCACTTCATAAGATCTCAATTTTTAGGCTATCTGGATCTTCAGTGTTGCAAATTGGACGCCTCTTAAATATGAAAACTATGTGTACCCACCCTGGGGTGTGGGTATCGGTATGTGTATGGCTCTGTCTTCAATGCTGTGTATCCCGGCCTGGGCCATCTTCTCACTAGCCAACACCGAAGGCTCAATGAGAGAGGTACGTCATCAAAAGTTGTATTTTCTATAGAGGGCGTATTTTTGCAATGTGAATTTACACATTAGGTTGTCAAGAACACCATAATAATTAATAACATAATAAGCAATGATTTTCCCATTTGTAAATATAATTTTTAACAATAACTGTCGTCAAAATTTTTAAGATCTTGCAAGTATGTTGATTGTGTTAACCATGGTGTCTGTGACAGTGTTAAGTTTGCCATTTTTGTTCATAATTTTAACACTGAATTCTGTTACATTTTTTGTATGTACTGTATAATATATTTTATTGAATCTGTTTTTATTGTATACTGTATTTGAATGTCTTTTTTTCTAACGGAGTTGAAAAAAATTGAATTGGAAGCGAACCGTTAGGATCGCGTTTCCGATGCGCTGAACGCCGGCGTTCACATTGATCCGATTTTCTCGTCTGTTGTGTAAGCTCTCAATCCTAAAATTAGGATTCGGTATGCTACTGCGTAGCTGTCCCCGACGCAATCTGGAACGCTCCCTGATTCAACTGACCAATCAGCGTAGCCAAAGGAGTCCGCGATAGCGTGTAGCGATTGTATGGAAACCAAGCTTAACTAATTTCATTTATTCCTAGCATCTCAGAAACCTACCTATAAAAGTCTCGGATATTATAAACAAAGAAATAAAATACTATTATTTGACATTGAGTTTAAAAAAAACCTTATTCTTGTTATTTGTCATCGATTTGTTTAATTAGCCCTTTCACTTGCAGCCCTCTCCCAAAGCAAATAGGACTAGTACTCATTTTGTGGAAACTTTTAACGATATGAATAAAAACCCTAGTGATGAAAATATTGGTTATTTTATGAACAGCAGCTAATTTTCATTTAATTTTCTCCTATAGTACTCCATTATCCATAAGCCTTCCATAATCATTAATGGTATAGGCATATAAAGTTTAAATCGGCAGCTTTCAACGGCCGGTCCTCTTACTAGACATCAGTTTCGCTATTCATAAGGTCCACTGGTCCACTAGTCATAATTTAAATACAGTAGTATTTAAAAATTTCACTAAAAATAATTAGAAAAGTTTGCTAGGAGTATTATGACTAGCAAACCTTATAAATAGCAGCCTTGATCCTCAGCGGCATTGTAAACAATTTGCCCTACTTAACACCGATTTTTACTCAACAAACATTTAACAGAAACCCAAAGTTTGTTTTTTTTTTTTTTAAATCAGCGGTTGCAGAAGTTGACTACACCGCATCTGAGACCCTTTCAGATTGTGCTGCCAGGTAAACTAGAGAAGGCTGTGGAAATGCAAGAAATGGAAAAGCTGTCTTGATATTCGTACATGAATGGTTGTTCTAGAATAGATATTAATTTCCCGCTTTTTGCATTGCATGAATACCTAGCATTTGCTTTTCACTCATGCCTACCCACAAAATTTACCGTATTTGTGCCGGGTTATCAGGGTTGTAATTCCAGATGACATAGCAAGCACAAAAAGGCCCTTGCAACAAGTGAATTCTAATGCAGTGTGGGAAAATGTACAGCTTAAAAAAAGTGTACATTTTATTTTCTGTTTCTTCTATCAGTAATGTTGTCTGAAAAAGTGACAATTTCATAATCGACGCAATTACACGCTGGTTTGCATATGGTTCTGGTTTACATAATAATGAATGAAACTCAAAATGGTAAAGCAAACCATCATAGCTCACACTTGATTGAATAATTTTTTTCTGAGTTTGTTGTCTGACCAGATTTCTTCTGTTCTTGCTGCAAAGGTAGTGCTGCAAGATTAGGTATATTGTGGAATGCACTATAAAGACAAGACTAAGATTGTACAAGGAAATACCACACAATTGTTATATTCAGATGGCTTTTCGTCTGAAATATAGTTACGACAGATGTAAAAAGGACGCACATGTTACTTGCAGTGAGTGTTATAGCCAGAGCATAATGTTCTTTTTACTTCAAAGCTAGTTCAAAGCTTAGAAGTAACTATGCAAATTTTCCGGAAGAGATAATTGCCAATTCTTGAAATTGTAAACAATTATGAAAACGTTGTGTCTACAAAAATTTACACATCACATGAAATGTTATTTTAGCACTCATTTGTGGGTAATTTTCTTTAAAAAAAAAAATCAAGGTCATAAAGGTTGTATTTACTTGTGGGCTCTGAAGTGCAACTACACAGCGCTACTCCGAGTGCATATTCCTTGCATTCCTTGTGTATGCAGAAGTAACACACTTACTCCTGAGACTGCTCAGATGCAAGTCGTCTGTAGTTACGTTAATTAACTGAATACAAAGAACGTCTACCCAGGGTTTACAACATGTAAACTGCTACTTTAAAGCTTACTTCTAACTGATCTGAACATGCCTATCAATATCCACTAACATAATGGTACCAAAAGAAGTTTTACTGTAAAATTGAGGAGAAATAAAACAGAATCAGAGAATGAATTTTGAGTGAGAATTTATTGAGTTGGTATAGCAATGCACAATGAGGCACCATGATGTTATAGTAACGGTATAAAAACCAAATTAACCAATGAAATTATCTTTCCATTGATGAATATACAAAGAAAAATCCCAAAATTAATAAAATATAAGGTCCAAATTATGGAACTAAAATACATATTTTCTATTCAATAAAATGTATTAATATCATGGGTGGTTAAATTTACAATGAGATCAAATTTACGAATAGACCCCAACCGGTGGGTAATATTATCAAGATGTGATACATTAATAATCTAAAAAAATACTTTCCAAGTAATATTTATTTATTTGATAGCTTTTACAATGGAGAATTTTTGAGACTTCAAAATGGAATGATCAGTAAGGCTATACATGGCAATTATGTATTTGGAATAAAAAGGTTTTAAGCTTGGCTTTTCCACAAAAATATATTTGGAATAAAAGGGTTCAAGCTTTGCTTTTCCACAATATTTTTGTTAACATAATATTCTTATAGATTATATAATAAAAAAACATTATTCTATTTTCCTCCCTCCCACTGAAGTATACTGCATAGAGTAATTGTTGACAAAGTAGTTTAATTGTTTTGTTATATATAATTATCCCCTCACCAGTCAATTTTTAAAAAGAAACATTCCATAATTTGAATTATTAATTACATCAAAGGAAATGTTTATACCACACTACTTTACAAACTATTTTGAGATTTAGAGGGAGAGGGGTGGGAACACATAATCCACAAGTTTTACTTGCTAAATCTTAAATAGTCTAACAGAAGTCTTTGACAGCCTTGACAATGCTGCTGGCATTGATTCCGAAGCGCTCAAGCAGAACAGCTGGAGGGCCACTGTAAGGAATATTCTGTACAGCAAGTCGTCGAACCTTGACCCCGTCCTCGGAGAGCGCTGCAGAGACCGCCTCACCAATGCCACCTACAAAACATTATATATAAATTACTTTAATTCATAAGTTTTTCAGGTTGCCTTCATATACAAACATAAAATATGTACATATTTATTATATACAGTTAAACTTGCTTAAGTTGACTTTCTCTAACTCAAGTATCTTATTTTACATGCAAAATTTTTGTTTTGAATTAATTAATGATCTCTAAATCAGATTTCATCTAATTCAAACATTTTTTCATTGCCATTTTGGATTCAACTTAGGCAAGTTCAACTGTATAAACACTCCAGTAAGTTGTAATTTTTTGTTTTGAACTGTGGTGTACCAATAGGGAGTTTTCCAACGAAAACGTAGAACGAATTCACTCACACCTGACTGTGTATTCTATATTCTACTGTAAATCGATTTCAATGTTCTACGACACGTACGTGCAGATGTCACAAACGCGAAGACTGATGTACCAATGTTTAATACAGTCCATTCCTTGTTGTGGCCTTAACATAGATTGAGCTGAAAACCATTCCACATTTCAGGAGAGAACACAAAATGTTCAGATATGCACAGTTAAATTAACATTCTAAGTTCTACGTCGTTGCAAATCCTAAGTTCCCTATTGTTAGAACAATGTAGAAATTACTTCACACAGCAGAGAGTGAAGATTAATTGACTGATTGATTGACTGGCTGAATGATAGACTGACTGATAAATGGATTGACTGACTGACTGACTGATTAACTGATTGATTGATTTATCAACTAATCGATTGATTGATTGATTGATCAGCTGACTGACTGATCGACTGAATGATTTGACTGATTGATTGACTGACTGATTAATCAACTAATTGATTGATCGACTGACTGACTGATCAACTAATTGATTGATCGAATGACTGATTGATCAACTAATTGATTGATCGACTGACTGATAAATCAACTGACTGATTGACTGATTGATCAAATGAATTATTGACTGACTGATTAATTGATTAGCTGATTGACTGATTGATCATATAATTGATTGACCAACTAATTGAATGACTGACAGACTGATTGATTGATCAACTGACTGATTGAATGACTGATCGAGTGAATGATTGACTGACTGATTAATCAACTAATTGATTGGCTAACTGAATGACTGACTGAATGACTGACTGAATGACTGACTGAATGACTGACTGATTAACTGATTGAATGACTGACTAACTGATTGACCATTAATTGCCTCTAAAAACTTACCCTCTGGATAGTGATCCTCCACAGTGAGTACCTTGTTTCCACTTGACTGAGCACAGGCCAACAGCGTGGCCTTATCAATTGGTTTGATGGTGAATGGATCAACCACACAGACATTGATGCCTTCAGCGGCCAGAGTCTTTGCAGCACTTTCTGCCTCGGGAAGGGTTACTCCAGCAGCAACGATGGTTACTTTATTGTCTTTCCCACCTCGGCAACGAACCTGTATGAAATGAAAATAGTTAGAATATGGAGTGGAGTTGAATAGCTTGGTGGTAAAGATGCCTGCCTTAGAGTTCCACAAACCTTTCTGGATTGTCAAACTTAACCGACCAATCAGAAGAGGGCGAGGAATACATGCGTGTATCACATGTTGCCCCACAAACATACGCGTCTGTGGATGTTTTTACATTGTCGTTTTAGGGGACAACAAAAACAACATCCAAGAGGAGGGGCTTTGTGGGAAAGGTTTATTCCTGCGACAACAGGACTTCTCACTACTAAACATGCCCTAAGCCTCATTATAATACACAGACTGTGGGAGTATAAAGACTGAAGCTGCCCACCCCCATAAAAATCAATTTAATGGTTCTTAAAGTTAAATCCCAGTTAATGAAAAAAATAGGTGTACCTTAGCTTGTCCGATCTGAAATTTCTCATCATTACTGTAAACAACTGGAGTGGTTGGACGACTTGCGCGGATGAAGCACATACCCTTGGTGTTCGCTGCAAGCTCTACTGCCCTCTCCATGGAAACTGCATCACTTGGGTAGAAGACTGTACAACCGGGAACTGCACGGAATAAGGCTAGGTCCTCCAAGGCCATCTGAGATGGACCATCCTCCCCTGTAGAGTCAAGTGTTGATCAACATTAATGGCAACACCACATGTATAATTGTATAATTAACATAATCGTCGGTTTAAAACTCAGCTAACCAATAAACTAAGCTAACTAATAAGGAAAGAAAAATACATACTCCAAGTATTGAAATGCACGCCAGTGTGTTGGGATTTAGTATTTCAACATTATGTCATCATCAGGAATGAAAAAATTATCCATATTTAAAAGCTTATATACACAAACACCAATAACAAACAGACCAATGCCTTACATGCATATTTTTTTTATCCAGTACCAAACTCTTCTAAACTCATTTGTAAAAGTGATAATCCAAAAGCATATCTGGTTTTCTAATAAATCCATTTTACTTAGAATGTAGTTGGTGTAAAATAATCCGTTTTGTCGGAACTCACTGCTGCAAGGAAAGTAAGATGCTCTCCCTACAGGAAATGTTTATCCATTTGTTATCGCATCACAAGGAAGTCTCTGATCTCGATGGTCACACAAGTCAAAGAGGCAAAGTGTGCAACTCCTAGAGAATTTATAGATATCTATTTAATCTAATTTTATTAATTCCGGCAAAACAATTTAAAATGTTCGACATATGTATTAGTGCACCATCGAGTGGCAAATGTGGTCATATGACTACTGTCACCAAAAGGCTTGCCACTCCAACACTTGAAACACATTAGTTATAGTATCACTCTATGGGATATAATGGTAAAATTTAATATTGTTCTTACCGATTGAAACACCGACGTGAGAACCCATGAAGTTGACATTGGATTGCGATACCGCACCCATCCTTATCTGATCGTAAGCACGCGACAAGAAACAGGCAAATGTACTAGCAAAAGCGACCGTTCGGTCACGGCAGGCAGCACCCATAGCGACGCCAACAAGATTCTGTTCGGCAATGAAGCACTCGATGAAGCGGTCGGGGAACGCATCGCGGAATTTGATCGAGTATGTCGAGTTCTTCATGTCGCCGTCGACAGCGATGACATGTGGGTTGCTCTTGCCAAGTTTTGTCAAAGCTGTGCCATAAGCAACACGTGTAGCAACCTGAACAATATTGAAATTGTTTTAAATAGTGTTGTTATGCTTGAATATATAAGAAATATGACAATAATGGATAAATAAAAGTATTAAAAACATTAACTCCCGGAAAATAATTGAAAAGCTCACAAAATAGGGATCTTTATTTCAAGAACATACTGGTTAGTCTAAGCTCCTCAAGTGTCAAAGAGAGGAATATGTCCACTGTAGGATGATGATCACCTTCATAACATATGATTATGATTTTATGATCAAGCATTTGAGGCATGTCATGGCGAAATGGTTAAGTTGTCGCACAGGCCAGTATTGAGTAAATGAGCTATACAATATGCGAGCTCCAAAAATTGCCTAAAAATCCAAATTTGTTTTTCACTATAGATCAATAGTTTATTGTCTTATTAATCATGTACCAAAGTATTAGTTCTGGAAGTGGTCAGCAAATTGTTTATTTTATGTTATTTTGATAGTTCATTCTATTAAACAATGTATGCACAAAAAATTTGTAAAGGCAATTACTCAAAATCATGTTTAT